TATATATATAATATGGGTCTTGTTTTTGATTTACTAATGTGGAAAAAAGCATTCTAATGAAAATTAAGTTTAATATGTCAATTTTGAAATCAGTATTTAGGAGAGTTGTTAGGCTTTGCTTCGCATCTACAGCACTGGTTACTTTGAACAAATAAAGCTTTTGTAGTTGTTTCCTTTATCAGAAAACAAAATTGTATTCAAGAGGCCATAGGATACACCCAAGAAACAGTTCTGTAGCAGAGTCTAGATGTGTAATTAAAAGTAGAAAAAGTTTCCTTGTGACTTGGAAATACCAACTGTGAAAATGAAAATGATGGGGGATTAAGGAAATACAATCTAAAAATGTATGACAAGGGTAAAGCAGTAGAGGTGAGATCTAAATGAAAACAATGTGATGCAAAATTTTATTAACAAATAATATTAAAAACACAATTGTCACCATTAGCATATTTATTTTATACCAATGTTTCTAATGAGAGTACTCATGGGGAGCAGTTGGAAAAGAATGCATTTGAGCTACAAAGTCTGTTGAAAATTTTAATCATTTAATAAAATACAGCAGCTGGACATTGAAAACTTCTAAAACTCTCAAACAAAAAACCCCGAAGTACAGACAGGATACTTTTACCTCAGGCATTTGGCACAAGCCACAGGGAATGTGAAGTAAGCACTTCTCTGCAAAAATAAATGCATCTAAGAGGAATATGAAAAGTTTGTGTCAACACAGTTGACATGTAATCATTGTGGGTTCAAACTAAATGTGCTAATCCAGAAAAAGCTGTACTGGCAAATTTCTTTTTCCGTTATTAAGCAATGACCTAGCACAGAACAATGCACTGCTTACAGCAGCTTTCTCATCTCTAAAAACATGAATATAAAGTTTTAAAACACTGCCTATAATGGAAACATGTGTGTCCTAGAGATTTCCCATAAACACATCCAATAAGCATGCATGCTCTGCTTTTCATTGTGTGTGTGTGCGCATGCGCAAGCGCGCGTGTTCAGGGTCTCACTATGCAGCTCGGACTAGTAGTGATCCTCCTGATTTGTGCCTCCCTAGTGCTGGGATTATAGGTGTGCACCACCCACCCCCAGGCCCCAACTCCATCACTGGCTTAGTGTGCCTGGGGGCGGGGCTGGTGCAGCATGTGGTGCCAGGGATCGAACCCTGGCCCCTGTGCTTACCTAAGCAAGCCCTTAGTCTGCTGAGCTGTATCATAGACACTTACTTTTCATTCTTTACTGTATAATTTATTTAAAATGTATTAAGAAATCTATAATTCCATTGCATCCACTGTTTATGCAATGAATTTGTTATGTAGGGCAAAGAGCTATGTACTACACTTACATTTGCTGTTAGCCATTTAGCACATACACATTAGCCCATAGAAACACACATACAAACACACAATAGAGCACTTTATGGACTCAAAGAGTGCTATAAAAATCAAGATATGTAGGTTGTAAGAATAAGGTTTTTTTTAAAAAGTGAAAACTAATTCTGAGATAGAAATGATGCAATACACATCACTGTTCTCTTTCATCTTGCAGCATTTGAATCTAGGAATGTTTACATCGCATAGCACAACATAATCTTCTGACCCCTCCATTCTTAAGAAAATTTACCCAAAAAGTTAGCAGTTTTACAAGAGTGACATGTGAATTCCTAAGTGTTTTTTATCTACTTGAAATGTACTGTTACCCATTTTAAAATGCACTCCATTTTTGCACACACATACATAAAAAACAGATTACATCCCCAAGGGTGTGCCAGTCATCACTCTGCCATGGTGGGGCCTGTGCTCCAACCACAGTTTGTGAGTGTACTTGCCGAGTGTGGGGGAGATTTTACCTCACTATATTTTTGTTTTACTCCTGTATTTGGCTTCAGTGGAGGATAGCATTTGACTGAACCATACAGGACCCTGGCTCAGGGGATCACAGGACTAGGAGGGCAAGTTGTTGTGAGCTGGGCAGTGGGAGTGGGCATGGTTTGAGAGTATCATCCACAAGCCATCTCTCTTGACTCTGCCTGTACTCAGAAACCTTAACGCCACTGGAAAACTTCTGACTTTGGCTCTTTGGTTGTGTGGGCCAGGTCCAACCCATGGGGCACCTGTCTGATGCTGTGGAAGTGGGTGGATGCAGACACACACTGAACATGCTGCCTCTCTCTTTTGAATATTTCTAATATGCAATTTCTCCCTTTAGCTGGAGAGGTCCAAAATACTGGGAAATAAAATAATTTATCTTTGTTTTGGAAGTAATTGTTCAAGATACATAGCTGATGTCCGGATGTTCAGATACAATGTTTATTTATTTATTTTTTTTTTAAATTGACTGTTAATGAGAACCAAACTTACGCTGGCAGAAAAAAAAAAAAAAAAGTTTAATTTTGTCAAGTGGCCGCGCTACTTGCAGAGACACTGCCCCCTAGTGTTAAAATAATCTCATTTGTTTTATAAAGCTGACACAGTCACTGTGCCATTCTCAACAATTTTATTTATTTTTTTTTATATTGTTTTTTTTATTTTTCAACAAATAATACACTGCATATATTCTTCTTAGTGGTTAATTGCTGTACAAGATGCGGACTTGTGATCCTATTTACAAACACCATTAGAACAAATCATTCTATTCATTAACAGAATGTAACTATATATCTATCCCAACCACTTTGAATACACAGATACAGAATGGACATTCATCGGTGTACCCCATTTTTCCTAAGGTCCGTTATTGAATATTATAGGTGTGTAAACTCAGCAAAATATTCTAAAAGAGTCCAGTAGCCCATAATAGCAACAATTTTATTTTGATAATGAGTAATAAAATAGAAGTCATGCCATAAACTCTTCCTGGATTTAAAAATTTAACTCCTCTTATAGTGAAATGGCAACCAACATCACCTATGTGCAGTCAGTAGCAGTGCTTAGATTAAAAACAAAACGTAGTACACATCAATGTTTTATATCCTACAGGGATTTGCGGAGACAATAAGATTACTTAATAACTTAGTAGTTCTTAGTTACTGAATCAATACTTCTCACTCTGGTGAACAACAGGCAATCAACTTGTAACACCCAGCTGAACTGAACCAGAGCTGTGCTGGGCATGGGAAGCGCATCTTAGAGGACGTTGTTGCCAGCAGCATGAGAAGCAGAACTAAAGAAGAGCTGTAGAGAGCTGCTGGTTTACCTGGAGAAGCTTGTCATGCTGGCTTTCCTGATGAACTCAGCTGTTCTGTTAGAGGAGCTTGGAACCTTGTCACTGAGAATGGCTACAGTTCACTGTGGGGAGCTCTGGTCCTTGCTGAGCATCACTTCCTGGCTCTGAAGGGAAGATGGTGTACTCATCAGTCTCCTGGAGAAGCTTGCTGTGCTGGCTTCCTGATACAGACTCAGCAATTCTCCTCATCAGAGGAGCCCAGGGCCTCAGTGTCCCTGAGGACGGCGATGGTACTTTTCAGGGGTGCTCTGGTTCTTACTTTGAGTGTCACTTCCTGGCTCTGGTGCAGATCCCTCAGCCTGCTAAAACATACCCTTCATCTTGTTAGCATAGACTCCTGGGCTTCCACCTCTGACCTTTGGGCCTTTGCAGAACAGATCTTAAAACAGTCCTGCGTGAGACACTGTTGGGGGCTCTCCGCCTCCAGCTAGCCTCGTGGGGGGCAATGGTATTGGGTGCAAGGTCTTCAGCTGGATTCTTCTGAGTCTTTAGTGTGTGGACAGATTTCCTGCACTCTCTTGTATATGACTATTTGGGTGACTATTATAAAATAATCCTATAAATTATGTACCTTGTATTAAATTGTTCCACTTGCAAATCCCTGACTACTACAACACTCAGTAATAAGAGGAGACAACTTTTCATTAGATACTTTGGCAAAGATAATCCAAAATCATAGGTAACAAAAAATAATTTTATTTGGTTTTGAAATATTGATACATTTTTAAAATGTTACTCTGTAAATTAACTTTAAATAAAATAATACACAGTGAATACGAAACTTAAGCCTTCTCAATGTGTGAAATTATCCCTTAAACTTTATTGTTCCCACTAAGCAAAACAGTACTTTCCATGAGTCTGAAATTTCTGTGTTATTTGTTTTCAGTACCAATCCTGAATTGGAAAAAAATGAGGTATTTCATTTAAATTTCACACTGGGCTATAAAATGCATAGAAGAATTGAACTAGACAAGGTAACAAGCTTGTCCAAATGAGCAACACATATTACAATATTGAAACTTCTGGCTTATTAACTTTCATTTTTCACTACATTGAACACCTTGATTTCCACAAGTCTATGTTTTCTAACATATTCTAATACCTGAACAAAATTTTACACAATGTATGAGTAAAGAATATTAATGTAAAGATGAAAATAAAAATAAAATTTAGGTAGTCTTAATTGTAAAACCTGAGAGATCTAAATCACAAAATATATGTTTTAATAGTATCACAAACTGTGTGACTTTGAACTTCACCTCTAGGAGACTCAGTTTCTCATCTGAGTAAAAAGGGTAAGATATCTAACCTATGCATTTCATAGTAACTGTAAAGGTAAATAAGGTAATGTACATTTCAATCCTTTGCAAGTACAAGAAAATATTTGCTGTTATTATCCCATACAAATGCTGGAAATATAGGCACAGCATAAAGTCTTTTCAAGATGCAACATAACAACTTACATTTAAAAATATACCTTTTAAGAGCCAGGGATATAGCTCAGTGGCATAAGTGCCTGCCTGGCAAGCACAAGATCATAAGTTTAATCATTGATTCATATATATATATATATATATATATATATATATCCCAAATTAAATGTAACTTAACATTTATTTAGCCTATAAATATACTTGAAACCACCCATATCAAAAAACATTAAATCCCTTTATTTTCTCTTCTCAAGTAAAAACTGTCAACTAAGAGTTAATATCTGTGTACTTTCTTCCTCAATGCTCTGAAACCTGGCTGTCAGCTTCATTGCAGTCAGTTACTGAAAGACAGCTTCAAGAAATTAACAGCTGGCTTCTTCCCAATTCTTGCTTTATATTACCCTCAAAGACTTCAAGTACCTCTCACAACTATTCTGGATTCTTCAAAGTGACAATGCTCTTTTGCTTTTTATTTATGATTACTATTATTTTTTATTTTTACTGTTTCAGCTTCTTGTTTTTCCAATGCAGGTGCTGCATGAGGCTGCAGCCTTGGGACTCCTTTTGGTGCATCTTACTTTAACCCAACACACTCCAACAGACTCTGGTACATCCTAATTTAACCCAACATGCCCCATGTCTGTCATCATCTCTGTTTAGCCAACATCCAAATCTATGTCTTCTTTCCAACCTTCCCCTTAAATTCTAGTTCTCAATTTCCATCCATATGCACTTTATTCTGTAGTAAGGTGAAACTCATTATCTTTTTCCTTTGTCTGAAACCCCCTCCCTGACTTCATTGCTACTCTTGGTAGATACCTAAGCAGCAACTTTGGGATCACCAATGATTTGCCTACTCTTCCTCACCTCTCAATTCTATTACCTACTGAGTCCATCTCTCTGGTATCTCTCTCTAATTCATCTACTCTATTCTTCATTTTATCTCCCACTCCTTTATTCAAACTTCATTCTTTTTTGAAATATGTAAAAATATTTCATTTAGTCTATTTCTGTCTCTCACAATATAAATCCATCATATTAGATAGAATAACAAGGAAATAAAAATGCTCCTCTGCCTTAGATGCCTACTAATTGCCTGGAAAATAAATTCCACACTTTTGACATGGCATCTGAGACTCCTACCAATCTATTTCAAACTGATTTTCCAGTTCTCATTCTGCCCACACTGTTCTGTCTCTAGGACATTGTATACATTTCCAGAGTTGCATGTTCTGTTTCATGATGTTCCCTCACCACTATGGTTGTTCATTTGTCAAAAGCCTACACATACTCTGGACCTACGAGTCATTTTTGCTGTAATATCTTTTCTGTCCTGCCTTTTGGGTAAAATTAACTACTTTATTCAAGTACTCTTCTATTGCTATGAAAATTAAATTTCAGATGTAAGGTTTATTTCCTTCAGTACACTGGAGTCAAAAGGAAAAATTCAGCTATTTTGGTTAGTTTACGCTTAACATCATACCTAACAAATAGTAAATATCCAATCAATATTCAACAAATCTATTCCTGATCTGTGCAACAATGAGAACATTTTATAATCATCTTCATCTATACAACATCAATTAAATAAAAATCACTTAAATTTGGTAACAATAGTGCAAATATGGCCTAAAGATGAGTTGTCCATTGTAATCCTCTGTTTTACACAAATCAGCTAACTTTTCCCTTGCCATCAGTTTTGCAGGAAGATGAAGTCATGTAAAAATCCAGTCAAGTATCTGTGAAATACATAGAAATACAGTATGAGGCTCGTGATAGTAAAATTAGAGTATCAAGGTAAGAGTCATAAAATCCATTAAATTTTTGAATATGTTACAAAACTAAAGACATTATAAAAGCTAAAAATAGTAATTCAGTTAAAATAACCTTAGGGAAAACTTCATATACAGCGTACTAAAGAAGTAGTACTGAATCACTATCATATATATTTTTGTATAGTTCTTTTTTTTTTTTTAATTTTATTTATTTGTGTGTGTGTGTGTGTGTGTGTGTGTGGCCAGCTCGGCCCACCAGGGGGAGGGCTGGCTGGCATGTGGTGCTGGGGGATTGAACCGCGGTCCCTGTGCTTTGCTAAGCTTGTTCTGAGTAGGCGCTTTAGACCACTGAGCCATCTCACCAGCCCCTGTATAGTTCTTAAGAAACCACCTGTAGAGGGCTTGCGGGTGAGCTCAGTTGTTTAAAGTGCCTGTTTGGGCAAATTCAGTCAGGCACAGGAGACTGTGGTTTAATCCCCAGCTCCACAAGCCACACCAGACCTGCCCTTAAGGCAGCCTGAGCTAGCAAAAACAAGCAAACAAAGAAAACCAATCCTCCAATTTTAAGGCCAGCTCAGAAGCACTTGCCTGGCAAGCGCAAGGTCCTGAGTTCAATCCTCAGTACCACAAAAAAAAAAAAAGTAATAAACATTATTTTACTTATGATATTATGCTGAACCTTGCTTTCTAACTGTAGATGATGCATCAGGAAACCACCCATATCCTGTGGGTCAAATGTATCATCTGGTGTCTTATAAAAAGGAGTTTAATTGACACAAAGACATACCATTCATTTCTGTAGTCAGTGTCTGAATTTATAATAGGACAAGTAAGCTGCTGAGACAGGTATTATGTGCCCCACAAAAGTATTTACTATACAGTTCTTTAAAGAAAACTTTGGTCAACTCTAGTATAGATAGAAGTTAGAAATACAGACCCGGGAATGGTGTCTCTGTAATCCCAAGCACTCAGGAGTCTGAGGCAGAAGAATCATTACAAATTCCACATCAGCCTGGGCTACAAATTGAGCTCAAGGCTAGCCTGAACTGCATAGTGAGACCCTGTCTCAAAAAGACAAAAAAAGAAAATAAAAAAGAATTTAGAAATACAGCTGAAAACTAAGCTAGCTTCCCTATTTCTGGATTTCTTATTATTCTAAAATTTAAAATCTTTATGCAAAAAAATCTGCTCAAAGTCAAAAACTTGAAGGTATAAAGATATTATAAGGGCTGGCAAGATAGCTCAGTGGACTAAGCGCCTACTTAGGCAAGCGCAGGGACTGGGGTTCAATCCTCGGCACCACATACAGTGCTGACTCAGCCCTCGGGCACACTGAGCCTGCCACCAACTAGGCATGGCAGAGCACACCTGTAATCCCAGTGCTGAGGAGGCTTAAAAGAGGAGGATCACTGTGTGTCCAAGCTGCAATGTGAGACACTGCACAAAATACATTTAAAAAAGAATAAAGACATATATTATGATAGAAAATGTAAAGATGTCAAAGACACAGAGACAAAGATCATACTTTCAAACTTTCAATATAAGCCTGCCTGCTTGGTTAACTAGAAAAACAAGTGGCTATTTTTTTTTTTTTTTAAATAACAGAGTATGCCACAGAAAATAAACTTTTTGGCCACTATTATGTCACTAAAATAGTTGAAATTTAACTCTTGTAGGAATAAAAAAGGCAAATTAGTATTAATTTTAAAATGAAGGAAAGGCTAAAAGAGAGCAAGAGTGAAGGAAAGAAATGGGAAGTGGGAAAGACACTGGAGATAAGACAGGAGAAAGAATCTACTGTACCTCATTCTCTAACTGATATGAAGCCAATCTGTGTACCAAAATTAAAGCCATCTCGGACACAGGAGAAAAACTTTTCAGGACAGCAGGATGTACAGAGGTTGAGATCTTGATTCTGGTCCTGAATATTGTGTGGAAGAATTCCTCCTTGTTCTAGAAGAATCCTTAAAGATTTTTCAAAGAATAGCAAGAGTTTATTTTACCAATAGTCAAAGCAATTATGAAAAACATTAAGATATTGCTGTTAAAAAAAAAAAAGATACTGCTGTTAAAAGAGTTCCAGGAAGGATCTACTTGAGGTAACGTGAATTGTTGCTCACTCACAAAACATGGACAATGTTGTGTCAGGAACTGACAGCTTTTATCACCATTTGCCACCTAAGTTCATATACAGCTGTATAAACTTCCATATTGTCCTGAAGACATGAGCTGGGGTATATATCCTATAGTTCATGAGCTGGGGGTACATTCTATAATTAAAATCAAGTGCTAGGGGCTGGTGAGATGGCTCAGTGGTCTAAAGCACCTACTTAGAACAAACCTTAGCAAAGCACAGGGACCGCGGTTCAATCCCCCAGCACCACATGCCAGCCAGCCCCGCCTCCTGGTGGGCTGAGCTGGCCACACACACACACACACACACACACACACACACAATAAATAAATAATTTTTTTAAAAAATCAAGTGCTATTTAAGGAAAAAATTATCAAGTTATTAGAGCATTCTGGACAAGATTCATTTGTTTCAGACAGTGCTTTTTGGTCATTTAATCTTATATCTTTTCTACCTGTGAACCAGATTTTTCTTTTTCACCAAAAGTCTGTTTTCCATTTTATAATATCAAATATAAGTATTAGTAATAATTCTTCTAGCACTCATATTTAACAATCAGTTTCTGTCCTCTCTACTTTTGAGAATGAGCCAAATCTGGGGAAGGTTTTGCTGGGAATAGAAATACAATTCAAATCAGATGTCAATTTCTCTCTCTAGAAATGACAAATATTTTTCAGCAGATATTAAAATTAAAATTAAAATTTCACAGGTTAAAATACTGGAAATACATAAAAGTGGCTATTTATACTACCTTTTTTTTTTTTTTTTTTTTTAGGGAAGGGTCTACAGGGTGCTCAGGCTCTCATTACTAAATCGGACTCATAGTGATCCACCTGTTTACAGCCTTCCAAGAGCTGGGATTACAGGTGCACGCCACCATGCCCAGTCTCAATTGCCATCTCAATGTGCCCTGGGGTTGGGGCCAGCACTGAAGGCCTGGAGATCGAACCCCTGGCCCCTGTGCTTGCTGGCAGGTGCTTTAATCTGTTGAGCTATTTGGCCGGCTCTCTCTAATATTTTTTCTAAGCAATATGCTGCTCTGGAGAATAAAAATATTTTGGAAATAGTAGCTTCATGATAGCTCATTACATTTAAGATAATTTATCTGAAGAATGACTGTGAAATAAAGTATATACCACTTTTTCTACAGTTTAAGCATGTTTCTTTAAAGGTCAAATATTTGTTCCTTCATTTTTATATCACTAAGAGATACCAGACAAGAAATTTTCTGTAATTCAAATTTTAAAAATAAATTACATTTAAGTAAGTTAGTTACTCAAATACCTATCAGCTAAATTGTTTTTGGCGTTACATTTTTTCCCTAAAATAATTTCCAGTTCAGAACTAATAAACAATAATTAAACTTGCAGTTCTAGAATGAAATTAAACATACCTGGTGGCTTTACGGATGTCAACGTAGGGATTTGGTGAGTCAAACAGTCGTACACATGTAGGATGAAGATCATGAAATGCACTTGCTGATTCTCTGGGAAGAGTAAAACAGCAGGGTCCTACTGAAGGTCCCAGTACAGCAATAATGTCTTCCAAACTACAGCCATATTCTGATATCATAGCCTTTACCGTAGCCATAGCAACACCTAGCAGAGTACCTTTCCACCCTAGTAAACAGAAAGGAAAAAAAGGTTAAAACATACAATTTCAAGTGAAATCTCTAAGTTAAAAATGAAGAACAGATTGCATATTTTTCAAAATCCAGATGTAATATTAATCAACATTATACTAGTTTTTGAATAAAATTTTACTATACAAAGCACCCAACACAGACATTCAATGCGAGTTTCCCTGCACTTCCTTTTAGAAATGTTCTACTGTTTAGTTTCTACTCAGATCATATTTCCTCTTTTTTTAATCCAAAAGAACTGAAAGTAAGATCTCTAAGAGATGTTTTCATACCCTTGTTTATGGTATCATTTACACTATTTGCAAAAACAAATCCATAAAATATACAATTTTAACAACTTGAAAAAATGTAGTTCTTTGAAATCATTATGTATTCAATTTCCAGGACTTTTTTTATTTTTTTGTACTGGAAATCAAACTCCAGAGCTCACGTTTGCCAGGCAGATGCTGTGCTACTGAACTATATTCCCTGCTCCAGGGCTTTATCATGCAAATGTGAAGCTTATCTATTAAATAACAACTTTTCTTCTTCCCTTAGCCTCTGGCCACAATTTTTCTTCCTGTTTCCAATAACTTGAACATTTTAAACACTACATATAAGTGGACTCACGTAGTATTTATCATCTTATGATAGGCTTATTTCATTTGGCATAATGTTTTAAGGTTCATCCATTTGGCAGAATGTGGCAGCAGAATTTCTTACCTTTCCAAGGCTGAATAGTTTCACTGTATATATAACATACAATTTACATTTTGTTAATCCACTTATTTGTCATTGGACATTCAGGATGCTTTTACCTGTCGGATAGTGTAAATAATGCTACCATAAACAGGGGTGCGAAACTATCTCTTCTAGATCCTACTTTTAGTTCTTTTCGATAAATATCCAAAAATAGAATTGTTGCATCACATGGTGATTATTTTTAAATTTTTGAGGAAACACAATAATGTTTATCTTCAGAATTTTTAATGTATTTTATGTCTTCAAAATTTTTAAAGAGGAAAATGATTATTTATGCTACACTGTTTTATTTAGTAGCTGCACCATTTTTCATTCCCAATAATAGTGCAATAAGATTCAAATTTCTCAAAACTTAATACTTCCTACTTTCTGGATCCTTATTTTGTTTTGTTTTTATCTTAATTTTAGCCATCCTAATAAATTTCAGATGAGATTGTAGTCATCTGAATTGTAGTCATCCGATTTGCATTTGTCTAATTATAAATGATACTGAATAACTTTTCATGTACCTGCTGAACATTTACACATTATCTCTGGAAAAATAACCATTCCTTTGCCCATTTTTAAATCCAGTGTTTTTCCAGTGTTGTAGTTTTTTGTTCTGGATATTAACCCTTTATCAAGTATATGATCTTGGGGCCGGGGAGATGGCTCAGTGGAGTAAGCGCTTCCGTGGCAAGCACAGGGGCCCGAGTTCAATCCCCGGTTCCGCGAGAAAAAAAAAAAAAAGTATATGATCTGTAAATATTTTCTTCTATTCTGTAGGCTGCCTTTCCACTCTATAAATTACATCCTTTCATACACAATAATTTTAATACTAATGATGTTCAATTTATTTGTTGCTTTTGTTTAGAATATTTAAGAAACCACTGTCTATTCCAAAATCATTAAAATTTACTGTAATAATTTTCCTAAGAGTTTTGTAGTTTCATTTCTAACATTAAAATCTTTGATTAACTTTTACTTAATTTCAAAATATGATGTAAAAGGTGCAACACAATTCTGTACATGGATATCTAATTTTCCAAGCACTTTTTGTTGAAGAAACTATAGAGGATATTTGTTGAAAGGTATTTCACTACACTCAAATGTTTCTTTTTTGGTTCTGCTATTCCAATGATTTATAAGTGTGTCTTTATACTAGTAGCATACTATTTTGATTGATATAACATTTTATAAATTTTATTTTTAAAGAGAATGCAAACATAGTAAAAAAATTTACTAAACAAAATGATAGGAATTCAACAGTTGATATATTGCATATTGTCATCTTCAGATTAGTTGTTGAGATTGCCAGACATAAGCATGCAAAATTGGTCAAAAGTTAAAAAAAAATAATTTAAGCATCAAGCTCCTTTCAATAGACCATCAGAAATCAACAGTACAACTACCCAAGCTAGCCTATGTATATATGTATATATTTTCTTTACTCTTCCTTCTTTCAGTTTTCCTTTCTCTCATCCCAGCCACCCCCTCCCTCTAAACAGTCCCCTTCCCTTTCACAGTAGCTAGTGTACCTTTCAGATCCCATTTATTCTTTCAGGTTCTTATATTAGGCAGACAGTACAATGTTTACACATGTAGGTTTGATGTATTTCTGAAAAGTATGGTCTCTACTTGTATCCATTTACCTATAAGTCTTGAGTTTATCTTTTATTATAAATGAGTAATACTCCACTGTATAAAAATATCACTCCTTACATCCATTCCTTAATTGATGGTCATTTGGGTTGTTTCCAAGATTTACCTATGACAAATTGTGCTACAATACACATGGGTGCATGTACATTACTACAGTGTAATGCTTTAAGTCTTCTAGAATAATACCAAGGAGGGGAAAAGTTAGGTTGAATGGGATATCTAATCCTAGTTTTTTGAGAAATCTCCACGCCTATTTCCATAGCGGTTGTACCAGTCTACCCTCCCACCAACAGTGGGAAAGTGTTTCTTTTTCCCTACAGTTCCTTTGGCATTTGTTATTGGTTGACTTCTTAATGGCAGCCATTTTTTTCTGGGGTTATATTCCTTGCTCATGGATAGGAAGAACCAGCATTGTGAAAATGGCCATATTCCCAAAATTTTTATACAGACTGAATGCAATTAAAATTCCATTAGTATACCTCACAGAGCTAGAGAATGCATATCTAAAATTCATCTGGAGGGCTGGAGAGATGGCTCAGTGGTCTAAAGCACCTACTTAGAACAAGCTTAGCAAAAGCATCAGGGACCGCGGTTCAATCCCCCAGCACCACATGCCAGCCAGCCCGCCCCCTGGTGGGCTGAGCTGGCCTCTCTCTCTCTCTCTCTCTCTCTCTCTCTCTCTCTCTCTCTCAAATAAATAAATAAATAAATAAATAATTTAAAAAAAAATTAAAAAAAAAATAAAATTCATCTGGAACCAGAAGAGACCTAGAATAGCAAAAGCAATCCTGGGCAACAAAGGCAAGGCAAGAGGCATCACAATGCCTGACTTTAAATTATACTACAAAGTTACTATGATAAAATCTGCATGGTAATTAATTAAATAATTAATTTTAAAAGATCAGCATGGCATTAGCAAAAAACAAAAAAGACCTAAGGATCAATGGAACAGATTAGAAGACACACACCCAATTATAAATGCACTCAGCCACCTTATCTTTGACAAAGGAGCCAAACATTTTCACTGGAAAAAACATAGCCTCTTTAATAAATGGTGCAGCAAGAACTGGATTTCCACAGGCTAAAGGCTAAATAAAATTAGACCCATGTCTATCACCATGTATTAAACTACAGTCAAAATGTATCAAAGATTTAAATATTAAAACAGAAATACTAAACATACTGGAGGAGAAAGTAGTTAGAAATTTTGAAGACATAGGTGTAAACAGAGTTCATAAACAAATACCAAACTGCACAGAAATACATCAAAAAATCAACAACTGGAATCTCATGTTTTTGAAAAGTTTCTTCACATCAAAAAATCACCAAAAAAAAAAAAAAAGAAAACCCATCAACTGGGAAAAAACTGTAGCTAACTGTCCCTCAGACAAAGGCCTTTTATCTAGAACATATAAAGTATTAAACAAAAACTCAGGCCCCAAAAATTTAAAGACCCAATCCAAAAATGGGCATCTGAGATGCACACAGACTTCCCTGATAAAGAAATACAAATGACAAATAAATATATGAGAAAATGTTCAACATCATTGGTCATTTGAGAAATGCAAATTATTTTTTAAAAAATGTATTTGATACAGGGTCTCACTATGCAGCTCAGACTCGTGGTGATCCTCCTGTTTTCAGCCTCCCCAGAGATGGGATTACAGGTGTGCACCACCACACCTAGACTTGGTGGCCAGCTCAGCTTGCCCAGGGGCAGGGCCAGCACCCATGCTGGGGAAAGATGCAAACATTGAGAGCGACATAATTTTGTAATAAGTTTTTTAAATCAGAAATGTGAGATATACAACTATGTTCTTTTTCAAGACTGTTATGAATAGTCAAAGCCTCTCAAGATTTCTTGTGACTTTTCCGTACTACAAGATAGGTATAATCTTTAATGCTTAATTATACTTACCAGAGTGTGCAACCCCACATGCCTTTTTGACAGGATCTGCAAAAACTATAGGTATACAGTCAGCACCAAGAGCTGCAATTGTGACTCCTCTCTGATTTGTGGTTATTGCATCATAAAATTCAGGCTCCTTTTTCCCCATAATCCAGACTTCTTTGGCATGATCAATCTAATACCAAAGATATGAGATAAAAATAGTTAGAAAATGAGATTTCTGGGGCCGGGGAGATGGCTCAGTGGAATAAGTGCTTGCCTGGCAAGTGCAGGGGTCTGAGTTTAATCCCTAGTGCCACCAAAAGAAAAAAAAGAAAGAAAGAAAGAAAAAAGAATATGAGATTTCTCATAAGTGAAAGTACTTACTGAAAGTACTTACTTCAGTACAAAATTATATGATTAGTATAAGGGAACTAGAAACCAATAAATATACCAGTTCTAGATACAGCAAAATATGCAATGTAGTATCTCTTACATATTTCACTCAAAGGAAAGCAGACTTAAAATTTCAATGCAATCCATCATGAATGGAGGAGGTCCCATTAAAGATGAATAAATCTTTACTTGCAACATTTTCCACGAAGTGTAAATTCATTCATAAAGAAAGTTAAATGATCAGATCAATAATAATTTTACTTCTCCAAACTCAAGTATGAGGTATGATTGGAAATCACAGTGAATGTTTAAATTTTAAAAATACACATTGCTATTAATCACCCTCAAAATACCATTGTCACTTCAAACATCCCATCATTCTTGCCACTTTCTGAAGTATTTTGGGAAATCCTTTTTTTAAGAATGTCTTTAGTTGTGCCATTATGGCTATCTCATTGTCCTGAATTAACTAAAAACATTTACCTTTCATGGTCATTCAGATGTTGGGGGAAAAGCTAGAAGGACACAGTGATATATCCAGTGAATGAGGACACATGTTTTTACACTCTTTCCTTTCCATTGGGTAGAACTTGGCAGCAGCACTTACTAAATTTTTTAATCACACCTCATAAAAATACTCTGAAAAAAGCAAGGGCAAGTGTTTTGAGGAGGATTAATGACAATGTGCCACTAATTAAATTGTTCAATTTAAACATTCAGTGTATTCAATCACATCCCAATAAGCTAGAATTCTGTGAGGAAGAAAACATTATCCCACCTATTATGCCTCTAAGTCATCCTCCTGTCAACTTAGAAAATTATGACCTTTGTCACACACAATTCAGGAACTATATAGAAGGGAGGTGAAGGGAGGGGAAAAAACAGAGGGAAGGGAAGAGAACGGAAGAAAAGAGAAGGGGAGAGAAGGGGACTGGAGGGGGCGGGAAACAAAATACTCTCTGAGAATTAACCATACTTTCAGAACTGAGAAGTATCAGATAAAATGTTATCATAGAGGGATATGATATACAAATCTAAGGAAAACAACTACAGCATTATTAGAAGCAAGAGTACCAGCTAGAACAAAAAATATACTTGAGATTTTCCAAAATACAAAACTAAATTTTACCTTTACTCGGTAAAATTTCTTTGCATTAAATCCTGCAGCGTTCGCCAACCTACGCAGGTTTTCTTGAACAACTGTCTTGGGATCTCTCCGTTTGTAACTACTGAAGAGATTGAATGAGCTAAGTGTTGGTATGTAAGATATCCCTCCTGTTCTTGTAGTGAATCCATGAATGAAAATGTCTGTTGAAGATAGATAGCAAACATTAAGAAAATGTTCTACAAAAGACTATAAAGCAGGGGCCGGGGAGATGGTTCAGTGGAATAAGCACTTCCCTGGCAAGTGCAAGGACCTGAGTTCAATCCCCGGTTCCGCAAAATAAAAAAAATTTAAAAAAAGACTATAAAGCAGTATATAAGCCAGACTCTCCAGTTAGACCTTTCTCATCATCTCAATTTGTACTTATTTATTCAGCTTCTAATTTTGACAGCACTTCCTTCCATAGGTTATTATATATTCCTGTTCCTATGGAATTATTGTTGTTTACAGAATATCTTCTATCTTTTTGTTATAACCAGTGGAATACAGAACACAGTAAGTACTGTTTAATCAAGAAAGAACATTTAATATAATTTCACTTTTCTGTGAAAGTGTCAATGAGTTGAGGCTTCAGAAGTAGAAGATTTTCAGGGTAGAGACCTCACTTTCAAAAAGGAGGGTTGGAGGATTTGCCTGAAAGCTGAATTTGGATGAAGCAAATTGTTTATTTAGGATGGCTTTGAAGGAGTTATCCCTTGACACCCTTGATTCACAAAGCCAACTACAACAACTGAATGATACCAAAAAACTGACACACACAAAAAATTAAGATGACAATAGTTAACCAAAGAAAAGATGGAAGAAAGGTGATCAACCTCTGAAGGACTGGATTTTCATGTACAGCAAAAACAACAGACAGTGTTGAATATACCTGGGATCAAAGGAGATGTAATAATAGTTATTTTTCCATTCAGTTCTGGTAGACTTCTCAAATACGTTTCTATTTCATCCTGGATTTTTTCTACTTCAGGAGCTGTGATCACGTTTATCTCAGTGGACTGCTTCAAAAAACCATCCTTTACCTGTAAATCTTCAAACTCAAAACTGTAAACCTCAGTGAAGAGCTGGTCGATAAAAGCCTTCATTAATTTTTTCCTGTGTACTGGTACAATCACCTTAATGCTGCTCAAATTTTTTTCATCAATTTTTTGCTTAATCATATACAAAGAGGCAGCAATGCTCGGATTACTAACAATCTCGAAGTCACTCAAGAAAGCTGAAAATTCATTTCTTGTTTCCAATTCACAATTATCATGTTCACTATCCCATTCACGGCTGATGTTATTGCAACATATTATGCAAAGGAACTGGGCCTTGCCAGCATAGTGGTATTGGACAGCCTTCAGTGTCTTCAGCAATGTCTCGGTACAGTTTCCCTGAGAGTTCAATTCCAAGCCATACAGATCAATCAAAACTGCTTCTGCCATCCTCCAATATTGTTTAAAGTTCTTCAAACAGTACTTCGGTACCAAACAAACAACCTCCAAACAAAAAGAACTGTAAACAACAATTCAAAATCATCAATCCTACAACAGAAATCTGTAATGGATGAAAAAAAATTTGCATTGATCTAAAAAATAACCAAAATGGTAAACCTAGAGTCCTTTCAGAAAATCTAGTCTATTTGTCATCAGAGACATATGACAATATTTTGTGAAAATGTAGGTATGTGCATCTTTCTAGCAGAACAAAAGTCTCTGTGGGTTGTTTTATTTTCTTTATATAGCAAATTCATTAGGAAATACTTGCCTTAGACAAAGTCCATTTATAATTATAGCCTATTGATCCATGTGACACATCAGTCCCAGCATGATTATCATATTAGGTTACATGGAAGTAGTAGACCTTCCATGCGAAATAGGCTTCAAGCTCACTAGGTTAAACTGAACTGAACCTGAAAGTCCCATTTTTATGGAGGGCAACGCTGAGATGAATAATTTCCTCTCAGAATATTCACAGCACTCCACACTTGTTGGCCACGACTATATGAGAAACTCCAACTTTGGATCAGATGGGTTCCACTCTTTTTTTTTTTCAGTCGTTCGCATTTTCTCGCCTTCTGCCCCGTCCCCCCGCAGCCAGGCTGCGGTTGCGTGCCGCCACCTCTCCTCCTAACCTCCGCTCCCACGCACCCCTCCCGCTCAAGTTTATCCATCTGGCCCGCGGATAGGGACTGCGACCCCAGCCGTCCTCCCCCGCACGCCGCCAACTTGCATACGACGCCCCCGCTCGGTCCCGACCCTTCAGCGCCGCGGGGCCAGGCCCAGCCCACCCTCCGCCGAAGAGATTCCGACCTTGGAGAGAGCGCTGCCCAGGTCGAGTCCCTCGCTTACGCGAGGTTCCGTGCGGGGCTGCAGCGAGCGCAGAGCTCGGCGACGTCCCACCCCGCGCCTGGGGTTCAGCGAAGCCGGGAAGCCGAAAGCCTCTCAGCTAGAAGTGGCTGCCCGCCTCGACCGCCAAGCTGCAACACCTACCTCCGGCGGCCGCCCGAACCCCTTTACTCACCCTTAGCGTCTGCCTAGAAGCCTGGGGACGCCTGAGGGCGTGACGTGGGCGGGGCCGGGGCGGACGTGGGCGGGGCCGGGAGGCGTGGGCGGGGCCGGGCGGGGCGAGGAGCGCGGGGGAATCCCGCGATGAGTCCACCGCGCGCGAGCCGCTGCCTCAGCAGTTCCGGGTGGGGCGTGCGAGTCCGCGCCACCTGCAGCGGCTAGGAAAAGGAACTCCGGCTGGAGCCGGGCGGGCCCGCGGGGCGGAGGCGGCCTTGTGGCCGGAAAGGGGACGGTGGGAACGCGGGCACCTGGGGAGGGAACGGAGGGTGAGACGGGGCGGCGGGACTGGCGGCGAGTCTGTGAGGGGAGCGGCGGCGGCGGAACGGAAGTCCGTCCCGGGGGGATTCGCCGACCCAGCAGTGTGGTCGGCGCTCTGCGTGTCGTCGGCCGCGGCGTTGTGAGCCCTGCCGCGTTAGCACTTGACAGCTGGTCTGGTTCTGGGGATGTTTCTCTGTGCGGAAGCGGCTAGTGCCTTCTCTTTGCTGATTCTGCCTTTCTCTGACAGAACCCACACTCTCCGCAGCGTGCGTATGTAGCTCAGGAGTTGGTCCCAGACCTTTGCACAGTCATATTTCCAGCCTTTTTACTTTTTGAAAGTTTTTTTGTTTTTTAATTTGAAACAGTATTTTGCTAAATTGGCCAGGCTGTACTCAATCTTGAGACCCTCCTGCTTCTTACTGCTGGAGTGCTGGGATTATAGGCATACTTTACCTTGTCCTATCTGTGTGCCTTTAAAAAAAATAGAGTTAATAGGACAGTGGAACTCAGTAGTTCTTAGAATCGTGTTAAAGGTACAATTGTACACTCATTAACTATCTTCCAAGAGTACCATGTCATTTATTTAAAAGTATTGAGCAGCTGCTATATGTATTGAAGACTCTTTTCTTAAAGAAAAAATTTCAGGGGCCAGGGAGATGGCTCAGTAGAATATATGCTTCCCTGGCAAGTGCAAGGGCTCTAGTTCTAATCCCCGTGTTCTGAAAAAAAAAAAAAAAAAATTCAGTTATCTGAAATTTGAAAAGATGGGCACCTGCTTCCTGAATGCACACCAGGATCATCAGACTGGACTAAGAACGCAATATCCAGTACCACTGACAACTGTTTTTCATCAAATTTGTATTTTCATTGGAACTTTAGGAACCCTGAGTTAATGGCTTGTACACCTGATGGGCAAATACACTCTTTGCCTACCCTTGTTTATGTCAACTGTTACCTTAAGCAAATGGAGGTCTTTTAGTTACAATGAAGGTTTAAGACGTTTGTCTTTGTTTTGTAGACAGTAGGGAAAGTCAAGATTCTTTTATGCAACTGTGTGTGTGTGTGTGTGTGTGTGTGTGTGTAGGGGTGTGGGGTATTTCCAAGTAGTGATGTTGTTAGGGAAGTTTGCTACATTTCCTTTTATCATGTGGTGCTTGCTTCATCTCAACATTATCTTACCTCATTCTTACCCTTCTACAGTGGTTCTCATTCTTGACTGCATTTTGGAATTACAAGTGGAACTGTTTGAAAATGTACTGAGTCCCTCAGTCCAGATGTACACTGAAACAGAATTTATGGAAGTCAGGCCAGGGAATACTTTCGCTTTGCTTTTTCTGACCTCTAAAGATGATTCATATACAGTTAAATTTTTTTAAAAAACTTCCCTATTCCCAAGCTCTTCAAAGAGCTTGCTGGGTAGATGACATGATTTCATCTTTTACACTTGATGTTTGTTCTACTTAGAACAATCACTCTTCTTTTTGTGTACCTATTTAGCTGCTACTGGTTGTTCAGGACTCTAAACTCAAATACAGCCTTCCTTAAATCCCCTGAATTTACCAAGTAGAGTAACTTCTTTAACATTTTGTTTCTGTAAAAGAAGCCCTCTTACAGATACAACATGGATCATAATCAAATTGTAAAAGTTGGTTAAACACTGAATTGTATATAATGTGTACTTTATAGAATGTTAATTATATAAGTTATATATAATTATATATAAGTAAAGCTTTTAAAAAGGAAAATCAGTTAAGGGGTCAGGGAGATGGCTCAGTAGAAAAGCGCTTGCCTGGCAAGCACAAGGGCCTGAATTCAATCCCTGGTTCAGGAAAAAAAAAAAAAAAAAATCAGTTAAACCAGAGAATCATGAAAAAAATGTAATACAATTTCAGCTTTTTATTTTAACATAACCATATGTTCACTTGCAAATCTGTGAGAAAGTCTAGGACCTTTTCTTAATATATGGTCTTCTGAATGAAATTCTGCATTTTTTTCTCTTGCACAAATCATAAGGTTGAACTAATAACTAAGATTTCATAAGATTTTCTTTATGAGAAAAATAACTTAAAGGCATTTGTGAAGCTGAGTGCAGATTTGTTCTTTTCAGTCTTTTATAGTTACCTCACACATCTTCAATGGCTCTTTCCAAAATATTAAACATATTTTATTTTTTATTAAACAGATTTAAAGAGAACAAATTTTACTTTCATATCTTTTTGTTGGCTTACATATAATTAAGATATAAGCACAATATCAAGTACAACTGGCATAAACAGGTTTAGAAACAACTCATGGAAGATTGTACAGTTCAACTGGTAGAACAGCATTAGGAAGACTCACTAAAGAATAATTTCCTAACCGTAAATATTAAACATGATATGAGAATTAGTCATTTGTGATTTACAAAGGAAATGGAGAGGGTTCCTTGGTTAGAGATCAAGTGTATCTATTTTAATTACTTGATTATACTGCATATCTTCCACATAGAAATTTAGAGTACTTATTTTGAGGACAGTGATAGCACTTGGCTGTAAAGAACCACTGGGAAAATCCCCTGACATTCTTATGCAATCATGTAAATCTTAGAACAAGTGGAATTTTTTTTTAAAGACTGAATAGTTCTTTATAAATTATTTATAAAGATGTTTATGGATTATTACTGAAAAGGCCACGTACCATGCAGATTTCCTTGATACAAGCTTATGTTACTTTCCTGGGACTGCCATAAGAACCACACACTGGATGTTTAGCTGTGACTAAACCAATCTAATTTTTTTGTCATTTTTAAATTAATTTTATTGAGAAACAAATAGCAGTGAGACACCTTCAAAACCGATTAGTAGGACAGTTTCAATAATAAACACGTTGAAAACCAAACTATGCTTCCCCCCTTTTTTAATGTTATGATAAAAATAAAAAAGAGGGAGCTTTGTTACTTACATTGATTATTATATATTTTGTATGTGGCCTAAGACATTTCCTCTTCACTAAAAGAAAAATGCAAAACATAAGGCATACTGCAGGTTGAATGTGGCTAGGGAAAATAAAGCTTAACCTTACAGTTACAGAGACCAGATTGTGAAATTGTGGTGTTAGCAGGACTTTGTGCACTTTGAAGTTTTTCTTGAACCTACCATCTTCTGGTGCTTCCATGTCTGCCTTTGACAGGGGATGCATGATGCTATTTCATCTTTCCATCCTCACATTGTCTTTACTATATGTCTCAAATCTCTGTCTACATTTATAAGGATACCTGTGTGAAAATTACTGAAGGCTAACTGAGAATGAGAGAAGACTACATAAGTCAAAGATTGAAAACTATTACCTGCATTTTGATAAAGGATAGGGAGACATGAGGGTACAACCTGATTGGAGATGCTGACATTGTAAGCTGCAAAGTAGGCTAAATAGAAGTGAGCCATTCTATGTGATTGGTTAGAGGCTGCATATTTGGCTTTCCTTGGTTGGTCCCAACTTGCAAGTACTGGAAAGAATTAATGAAAATGTCAAGAAATGTCTATTTGGAGTTAATTTGTATAATATGACTTTTTATATTATTACTTAAAATAGTGGTCTAATTTCCTACAAGTCTAATTTATAGATAACAAACAGGCTTCCTGGACTGCTTAGTATAGAAAATGGTTTGCTTTCCCAGGTTGGATGCTGCTGTCTAACTACGCAGCTCAGACTCATAGTGATCCTCCTGTTTTCAGCCTCCCCAGTGCTGAGCATACAGGTGGGTGCCACCACACTTGGACTCGGTTTCCAGCTCAGTGCACCCTGTGAGTGAGACCAGCTCAACATTTGGGACTGGGAATTGAACTCTGGTCCCTACGCTTGCCAAAGCAGGCACTTAGTCCACTGAGCTAACTCGCCGGTCCAATTAATACATATTTTTATGGCCATTGTTTGCATAGTCTCAACTATTATTGATTTAGGGCCCAACCTAAGTCCAGGGTCTCAAGATCTTTTACTTAATTGTATCTGAAATGACCCCTTTCCAAATGTAGTTGCTTTTACTTGTTCTGGAGTTAAGATACGAGCATATCTTTGGGGACATTATTCAGTCTTTTTGATTTAAAAATAATGCTTGTTTAGAGTAAAAAAGGAGAAGAGTCAGGATTCTAGTTTTTCTGTTGGGTAGGATAACTGGGACAGCCACCTTGCACAGAATATTTGTGAAGTATCTTTGAGGATTTCCTAGAGGGCCTGTGAAACATCGCAGTGAGTTCTCCTTTGTGATAATCTTGAGCAAGTCTGGTTTTATTTCCCTGGGTTCTGTACTTTTCTAGAGACTTTCTTACTACTGAACCTGGGGTTTGTGGCATGAAAAACAGAGGAACTTACAATTTATGGAGCTGGGGAGACTAAAGGAGCAAGTTCAGTGGTGGTAATAAAGTGGATAGAGAAACCAAGATTTCAGTTTGGAACATATTAAATTGAAATGCTTGTTAGAAATTCAAATGTAGTGCTGGCCAAATAGCTCAGCAGATTAAAGAGCCTGCAAGCAGGCACAGGAGTTGGGGGTTCCATCCTGGGCCTGCCATGCCAGCCCTGACCCCAGGGCACGCTGAGACAGCAATTGAGACTCGGTGTGGTGGCATGTGCCTGTAATCCCAGCTCTTTGGAGGCTGTAAACAGGTGGATCACTACAAGTAGAATCTAGTTGTGAGACCTTGAACACCTTGTAGGCCCTTCCCTGAAAAATTAAAAAAAAAAAAAAAAAAAGAAAGAAATCCAAATGTAGATATCGTGGATGAAATTTGATCTGTGTATAGTCCAAGAGGGATTTCAGACTTGAGAGATAAATTCAGTTGTCAGCCTATAAGTGCATTTCTTTTCTTTCAAAATTATATTTTTATTAGTATATATTTACAAAGCCTTATGGTTACATTTGTCATAGGGAGTTGGTACATGTACGTAACATCTTAATTCTTTCTTTATCATTTATTTATTTATTTAATTGGTTTAGGGTCTCATTACACAGGTCAGACTCATAATGATCCTCCTGTCTCAGCCTCCCCAGCACTGGGAGTACAGGTTTCAGTGGCTGGCATGGAGCACCTGAGTGCCGGGGATGGCATGGTATGCAGTACCAGGGATCAAACCCAGGTACTTGCACTTGCCAGGCAGGCACTTAGACTGCTGAGCTATCTCCCAAGCCCAACATCTTAATTCTTTTTACAACCCCTTCCTATCTTCTCTCTTCCTTCTCCTTGTCTCTGTTTTTCCCCCTTCTCTATAAGTGAAATTTAAAGCTATAGAAGTGGATGACATAAGGTGTAGAATGAGAAGGAAGTGAGGACCAAGCACTAGAGCATTCTAACAAAAGTAAGATTTAAAAAACCCCAGCAAAATAGATCAGATGTGGTATTTTAGAGAAGGTATTTATCATGTGACAACTGATGGTATTAAGTCAATTGAGATAAAGACTGAACTTGTCCTTTGAATATAGAGACATGGAGAAGAACTTTAAAGGTAGACTGGTGAATGTTTGGTAGAGAACAAATATCTCATTTATAAAGGAGATCAATGAAATGGGTCACTAGCTGAACTGGTGGTATCAAAACAAGACTGGTAATGGTGTTGGTAATTGATTTGTGATGAGTCATTCAAGATAATACATTATCTTAGCTACTTTCTCATTATTGAGACAAAACACCAGACACCCAAAGTTAATGGAAGAAAAGTTTAGCTCACAGTTTTTAAAGGTTTTAGGCCTTACTCATCTGGTTCTAAAACAAGGTGGCATGACAGAGGAGCATTGCAGAGGAAAAACAGTTCAAGGTGCGGCAAGCAGAAGGCAGCAAGCCACAACAGCAGGCCTGTCTTCCTTCTTCTTTCTCTTGTAGACCATAAATTACAAATCTATTGATTGGTGCCACTCATTCTCAGAGTCAGGCTTCCATTATCTACACCCAGATCTATGCTAAACCAATGTAGTTCTCATATACCATTAATCCCACAATCACATACTATGATCCAGCCACCTCCCAAAGCCCCACCTACAAGTATATGAGGTTTTGGGGGACATCTAGGTACAAGCCATAAAATAGATTTCACCCTATAGAGAGGGGGCTTATCCTGATTAGATATTCAAAGAAGTAATGTCCATGAATAGGTGAGAAATGAGTACAGATAAGAGTGAGACTTTATTCATTTCAAGAAAAGTAGGTACAGCTGTAGAAAAACTAATAAATGGGGTAGTTTAATGATCTCTGTGGTATTTTCTACTCTTAGTTAAATAAAAGGTTGTCATCTGAAAGAGGAGGAGAAGAGAGCTGAGGGGGAGGCTTGATGATGAAGAATGAAATAATCTATGAAACTTGATGAATCCTAAGGGCCTCCAATCAAGGGCCCACCTGCCGTAAGTTATTTTGAATTTACATTGAGATCACAGCACAGTTGTGTCTTTAAAAGCATATTCAGCTACATGCCTATAAATGAAGTACTGGGTTACATTTTTACCAGAGAAGTGAGACGAATGCAGGAAGGTGGTAAGAATATATGAGGTACTTGAGGGATCATGTAAACAGAGAAGAATCAATGGATTAGATAACTTGATGTGGTTAAACAGCTATAATAAGCAAAATACTAGATGAAATGAGTTAAAAAATTAAAAGTTAAAATTTGCCTTGGAGGGGCCAGATATCAGATAAACTGTGGTAGTTTTTCATTGTTAAAGCAAAATACTGAGAAAATCAGTCCTTTAAGAAGAAAGATCTGTTTTGACTCTGAGAAGTTTCAGCCCATGGTCCACTGCCTCTGTTGCTATGGACCTGTGCTAAGGCAGAATATTGAGGTAGGAGCCTATGGCAGAGCAGAGCTCTTCACCTCATGGTAGCCAAGATGGAGAGACAGAGACATTCTAAGAGGGAAGGTCTAGGGACAAGGCATACCCCATGGACCTACTTCCTCAATTAGAATGGTTTAATCCATTGATGAGATTTGAACCCTCATAATCCTAAGTCCCTAACCTCTGAATATTAGTGTATTGAGGATAAACCTTCAAGACATGAAAATTTGGGGGAACGTTATATATCAAAATTATAACCTGTACCATCTGTGGATATTGAAATTCCAAAGGGGGGGAAAAGTAGTTAGAAATAGTACATTAGACAATGTAATCTAGGAGTAAGAAGAGGAAGTCTACAAGTCAGTTGATAACAGAGGTAGGGAAAGCTTAGTCTGGTGGCATGAACTTCAAAGAAACTGCAAAGTTTTTCTAAGAAGAAAAAGGTCATAGTTTAGCAGTGGTAACTGGTAGAAGGAAAAATATTTTACCTCCAGACTTAGTAATTAATAATTACTAACCTGAGGAAGAAAAGCAAAAAATTAAGGGACATTTCACCAAAAAAGTTGAAGATAGGACTTTGCTGAAGATGGATCTTGAATTTCAAAAGCCACAGAGAAGCGTATAAAAAGCTTGAAGAGTCAGTTATATAGTATCATATTAGTGGCCTTACCAAGCTGAAAAAGGGTAGGGCTTTGTGAAAAGGAGTGGCTTGGAAGTCTTAGGCTTCTGAAAACATTACAGAGATATGATAGAGGATAGTAGTTTCAACAGTGTCTTAAACAAATTGTAGAAGTTACATTAATTTGGAGAAAAAAATGTGACTCATCACGAAGGTAAAATCTCTCAGGAACTTACTGGGAGCAGGAAGAACTTACTAGGTTCCTTTTTCTATCATGCAAATTATGGTGAAAGTCCATAGGATTTGCATTAGATTCATTGCTGTACTTCACTGAAATAGTTCCCCAAAGAAGAAAAGTGGGAAGTAGTAGTGGGGCTAAAGAGGGGGAAGATAAATGCTGGAGATGTAGATCAGTGCACAAGGCCCTGAGTGCAATCCACAGCATCATAAGGAAAAAAACCCCAAATGTGGAAATTTATTAAAGTGACATTTTTAACAATAAAATAATACTGAATAGTTTGATTCTGGAGTGATATATTAAAAAGCAGCATCCTTCCTTTAATAATTACACTTGAGAAGTCTAGAATTAAAAGCATGAACTTGGAACCAAAATACCTGCATTCAAATAACATCTAAATAATTACCTGTGTAAATTCTTTGATATGCTTTTCACTTTTATGTGAAATGAAAATTATAACGTCTTTCGCAGTCAAATGAGTTAATGTTTGGTTACTGGGCATAGAACAAATACTATAATATTTTTTGGTTTTTTGTATTTAAAGTACTTAGAATAGTGTCCAGTGCAAAGTAACCATAATAAAAGCACTTACCATGTAATCAGTTGAGTGATTTTGTTATTAGATTTTTGATTGGAATGTCTGTGATGATCTACATTATATTTGTGTTGTTTTTTTTTTTTGGTTTTTAGTTCTTGGATCTTCTTGAGAAGATTTGCAAGGAGGCCTACAAAAGGAAAATGAGAGTCTGAAAATAATCTGTTTTAATAAGCTCTTTATTGTGAAACATAGTCTTAGGTATATACAAAGGTTTAACTAAAGGTCCACTGTATCCAACTAACTGAAAAAGGCATGCATTTTCAAGATAGCTAGAATTTCATGTGAATATGAAACTCAAAAGTACTAGAGAGAAAATTAGATTTAGAATCATTAGCAAAAAAAATAGCTGAGAGAAGTTCTGTCTGTTGGACAGAAAGGACATAGAATGATAGCATGAACACAATGAGTAAGCTGAGCATACAGATAAACTTCAGGAAAAAGGTAAATTGGAAGTGTCACATGAAGTAATATAAGACAAGAAAGGATTATGAATTCTGAGGACTTTTAAGACCCTTGTTAAGCTCAAGATTTCTTTATCTTAGTAAGATATTTCTAGATAGATTGGAATTTCTTTACTCAAGAAATTTAACATTTATCATTTTGTTTGTCATATTTCAGTTTTAAATTTTCGTGTCTAAAATTGTTCTTTTTATATATCATGTTCCAAGCCTTTAAATTTTCTTTTTGGAAAACATAATTTGTTCATGAGTATTTTGTGCTTAGCTGATCTTTAGGAAAGATATTCAATGATTTTGTAGACTTCGCTGTGGGGACTGCCTTACATATATATATATGCCTTATTGTTAAAATAATAACACTTTTTATGTGGCCTACAAAGTTTATAATCACAATTCGGAAAGATTCACAGTCTAAAAATCAACAAACAGTTTATTAAAAGACTACTCATTCCATAGAAAAATCCTTATGTACAAACGTTAAATAGGAGATAACCACTTCTACTTTCAACTATACTTATCGATTTTTCATTCACTGATGAATTTATTAATAAATTTTTCATTCCTTTTTCATGAACATGTGTAACATTTCCTCTGTGTAGGTAAATTCTGATACCCTTTTCTTAAATTTGTTAAGGAGCTTAACTCTGGAAAACCAGCACTCTTGTGTCAGAATAGCATTTTCTTCAGGTGGAGAAAAATATCTATCCCTGAACTTATTAATTACTCCTAAAGAATAGATTGAAATGAGATTTGCAAACCTGCCTAGGGCTTATCACAGCAAAAATATCACTGAACAGGAATGGTGTATTCTCTATATCCTGTACTAATGGGAGAAATGGCTCTAAGTATTCTTGAAACTTTCTCATGGATTCTTATTATTGTTCTAAATCCTATTTCATCATAGTACTAGAGGAACCTGCTACTAATCCAAAAATAATTACTTTGTATATGGCAGGCACTGTGCTAAACATTTATCTCCCCATGAGATTTTGTAAATAAGGACTCCAAAGATCAAAAAAGATACTGTTCATAACAGCCGAAATTTGGAGAACCAACATGCAAATACAGTACTTCCAAAGTCTCCCAATCATTGTGTTTTAATTATTTGTACTAGTGATTAAATGTCATAACCATCCCTGTGGTATATGTGATGATCACGAATGTACAGTGGGAAAAAAACAGAAAAGTGAAAAAAAATTACAAATATAGATTATCTTGTAGGAATAAAGAAGGTGAAGTAAAAAGGGAAAAAGATTATTAAAAAATGTCAGGCAACAAAGAAAGGAAGAATGCTTCAGTTCTTCATGAAGGTAATTTTAAGGAATAATTAAAGTAATACTAAAAATAGAAGTATGGAAGGATAATTTTGTTAAAATTAATAGCAAATTAGAAGAAAGTAATTATATTTTACCCGAGGGAAAAATTATCAAGTGCTTGCAAAAGGTACAACATGAAAATATAGAACTATAATGAAAATGTGTCAGCTATAATTGCTATTAAGTTGTTATGGTTGTGCTGTAATTACAGAGTAGGTATAAGTGGTCTGGAAAAAAAATAGGGCAATAAAAATATACTCCTCTATAAAGAAATAGGTATAACATTGCAGTAGGCAGCTCTGAATTGCCTGTCATTCTTGTCTATGACTTTAGTTTTAGTTAGAGTCAGAATGGAAAGATTCTCAATTCTAAATTTAGTTTGTTTATGGAAAGAAAAACATAGAGTTTATCATGATTTTCTGTAAACAAGCATAACCTTAAATTATCTGCATTTAATATTATAATTTCTTTTGTCCAGCTGTGTATAAGCAAGAAACATCTTCATTAACTGATTTTGTAGAGCAAGTTGCGAAGCAACAACAATCACAAATATCAGAAATAGAAAAAAACAAAAAAACCCTGCTTCATTTACAGGTAACTTATTCGTATAATATTTTTAAATGTTATTACTTAAAAACTTTGTTAATGACAGGGAAGTTATTAAGGATAGTTAATATTGAAAAGATTAATTTTAAATTAATACTCTGAAATTTTTCTCTTTTCCCCAGGTAAAGACTATATGAGTATTCTAGGCTTAAGGAACATTTCACAGTTTGAATATAAAGATTTAACAATGTCATTCTCAACTGCAGTATATGAAGCACAACATTTCACATGGAATCATTTTAAATTTATTTCTATTTGATAGTTTTTTTCTAAAATGTTGACTCAAGGAAGGTTGTGGTATAAACCATGAAAGTTACGACTTATGAGTTACTAGTTATCCATAAATATACAAGTTGCTTTTTTTTCGACTTCATTACTTTCATAATACTGCCCCAGGCAGTATTTTCTAGTTGTCCTCCCAAAGCCTCATGCAGTCATGGGGTGGCTTCTGGAGTTTGTGGTTGATTATTGTGGGTGTGGATGCTGCACCTGCCCTGGGACAGGTAATTTGCATTACATTATGAGGGTTGAGACCCTAGCTAACTGCCTGAGCTGCTGCCACTGCCTTTTATCTCTTGATCTTAGCAATCACTATGAAAAGTTATTCTCTGCTATGTGCCTTGGACCCAGCTGAGTATGGACTGAAACCTCCAGTAACTGTGAGCTAAATAAACCTTTCCTTCCTTCATTTTGGGTGTCGGGTATTTGTCTCAGCAATGAGAGAAGAGTAACTGAGACAGGAGCCATTCTTAGTCTTTGCATACAGCATAATTAGACACAACTGTATTCTGTGAAAGTGACTAAAAGAAATTAAAATGAAAACAATGTGTTTTGTAAAAGTTTCTGTTAAATAGATTGCAGAAATGAAAAGAAGTTCCAGGGTTGAACTACCTTGTTTGAAAGGCCAGATTTGCTATTTTTAGCTCTGCATTTGAGTTTTTCTATACCTCCATTTCCTCCAGTTGTAAAACAGGGAGAATAGAACCTGTCTGAAAGATTTTTATGATTATTAGATGTGTGAACTTGTAAATATATGCATGGTATTGTTATACTGCCCTGGTGGACAGTATAGGGCCTGTTTTTGACATTGAATTTAGGTATTAAATGTATCAACAGACACATAATAATTTTATAAATGTGGTAATAAAGTAACTGGTAACTGGTACCTCCAGTTTTATAAATAAGGTAATAATATTTTAGTAAGTTTTAATAAGGGTTCCTTATAAATATCTGCATTATGTTATCTACTTCTATTAAGAATTCTTTTATACAATAGAATATGATAACAATGATGCCTTATGTTTCTCTAATTTTCTGAAAAAACTCAAAGGGTTTCACAGACATTATTTCCCTTATTTTGAGAGTCTCCATTCTGTTAAACTTTTTGGAAAACATTGTACTTCCCCATGGATTGTTCGTCACCTGCTGGGGAGATACAAAGAAATAATTACATGCAGGGTAATACTGTCCACATACTACCATGAACCTAACACACATTGTGAAGAAGGAATGATCCCAAAAAAAGGATTATTTCAAAGTCAAATTTTAAAGGAGTTCACCTGAGTAAGTGGGTATTTGGGACACAATGATTAGGTGATATGGAGCTTGATATACCAAATAAATAGAATGAGAAACTTCACAGAGGCCTGCAATTTCATTGTCAAATTCCTAGAACTGTAGGTAACTCTTTCTGGTGGTATAACATACAATGTATTTTTCAGAAGTGGTAGAAGGTATCCACCATGATAAGAAACTTGAACAGTATTCTGAAAGTAATGTGGACCCATCCTTAAGCCAGCCTGAGCCAGCCCCCCCAAAAAAAAATCCTTCTAAAAGTAATGTGGCTTTTGATAAGTTTTAAGTATGTGAAATAAAAATTTTATGAAATTTGTGTATAGGGAATTCTAGATACGTAAAATCACTTTTTATAGTCCAATATGGATTTATGAAAAAAACCCTGCAAATTAGGACTAGAAGAGGATTGTTTACTTAATCTTAAAAAAATACATAAATCCTTTAGTTAACCATACACCTAATGTTGAACTACTAAATGTTTCTTAAGATCAGGAACAAAAGCAGAGATGTTTGCTCAATAAGATGGTGCTGGCACTTCAAGCCCATATACGCAGGCAAGAAAAAGAAAATGCATCCAAATAAGAAAGGAAGACATAAACTTTTATTCACACACAGAATGATTAGAAAACACTTTAAAGAATTTACAAAAAAAGTTATGACTAATGAGTGTGTTAAAAGTTACAGAATACAAGATTGATACACAAAATTTATTGTATTTCTGTATATTGGCAAGAGGTAATCAGAAATTAAAATTTTTAAAGCAATATAATTTGCAGTACTACAACTATGTACTACTTAGTGATAAATTTTAGAGGTCTATAAAATCCTAATTTAAAAGACATAATATTAGATTTAATTAAATGGAAACATAATATCATTTTCACAAGTTAGAAAACTTAGCATTGTTAATATTTTGTTTCTCCCAATTTTTATAGATGAAAAGTAACCCTAATCAAAAACTCTATGGGCCTTTTTTGGACTAATTAAAGCTGATTCTAGAAGTTGTATTGAAATATACAGAATCTACAATAACGAAACAGTTTTGAAGAAAAGCAATCTTGGAAGACTTATGCTACTTGTTTTCTAATACTAACAACTAATTTTCTGATTTTCTGAACATCAAATGGTGTCTAATATTTCAATTCAGTTCTGGCACTAGCTATCTGGAATTAACATCAAACCAAAGAAGTTAAAGAACTCAGTCCCACAAGAATGCCCCAGTTCCAATATCAATTACAGGTGCCAGATTACTCATACTTCTGAACAGCTAACTATAAACCAGGGATTTCCATGACCCCTCATCAAAGACTTAATAATTTGATAGAGTCACTCAAAAAACACAGAAAAGTACTGTTCATATTGTAAAAACTACAACTCAAGTATGTAAGGGGCATACATGACTCTGCTGGACACTTCACTATTCTAGTACCTCAACATGTTTACTAACCTGGAAGTTTTTCAGGATAAGAGATTTTAGGAAATTCTTCTTAAGTGCACATGACTGATTATTAACTTCTAACCCCTCTTCCATCCAAGGGAGTAGAGATAGAGCTGGAAGTTCTAACTTTTCAAAGTTTATAGTTTTTCTTATAACCAGCCCCTATGCTGAAGCTCTCTAGGGACAAATCAAGAGTCACCAGATTAGAACTAAAGATGTTCCTATCATTCATCATTTAGGAAATTGCAAGGGTTTTAGGAATTCTCTACCTGGATATGGGGATAAAGACCAGCTATTTTTCTGTGATACCACACTATCTGATTTTTTTTTTTTTTTTTTTTTTTTTTTTTGCCAACTCAGCCTGCGCTGGGGGTGGGGTTGGCATAGCATGTGGTTCTAGGGATCCAACAATGGTCCCTGTGCTTGCCCAAGCTTGCCTAAGCAGGTGCTTTAGGCCACTGACCTATCTCACCAGCCCTGATCTTAATATTTATTATAGAGTACAGTTATCAAAATGCTATCAAGTAATAGATATCCTGTGGCCTAAAGGTAGATCCATGCCACAAAATTAAGCGTCCAGAAATAGCCACATTCATCAACTGGTTTTTGAAGAAATACTAAGGAATTTCATTGGAAAAAGATAATCTTTCCACAGATGGCAGCTAGACAGTTGGAAACCTTCATGAAGAAGCTAGAAGAAGACTAGGGGGAGGAGAAAGACAAAATACAAAGAACAATAAAAAAATTTGTTACACACCATATAAAAATTAACTCTAAATCAAATCGAAATTTGAGACATAGAACAGGATACAAACTTAATGATGTTGATTTTGTCAGTGATTAATTGAACACAAATTATTTTTAAATGGATTTCATTTTTAAAATTTTGAAGTTGCTTTTCAAAATACACTTATGAAAATAAACAGTATACTTGCTGGGCCCCTGTGGGCATTTCAGTTGTCACAGCCTGGGAGAAAATACTTGATAATATAACTGACAATCTACTTGTGCTATATATACACCCAACACATTAGAATGGCTAAATTTACAAAGACAGGCCCTACCAAGTGCTGCTGTAGCTATAGAAGCCTGGAATGAACAGGACCTGTTTGAATATAAAATGACAAAGTCTTGGGAAACCATTTTATACTTTCTTAAAAAGTTAAATCTGTCCTTACCATATAACCCAGCCATTTAACTTCTAGGTATTTCCCCAAGCAAAGATAAATGGTAAACAAAATATAGTATATCCATACAGTGTAACACTATTTAGCAATAAAAAAGATTATATTATACAACCACATGAATCTCAAAATAACTATGATTTTTTTCTCCCTGTTTTTGGAAGGAATTCTAAATTTTTTTCTATGTAATGAAACTCTGAAGCTTCTTTTGAAAAGTATAGAGATATATGTAAAATGTTATCTACAGACTTGGAATATCTCTGACCTCTTAGAAGGCTCTAGCCAATCTAGTGGGATAGATAATGAATGTCATGTTGTGAAATTTGGATTACATTTTTAATTAAATTTATTGGTATAAGTTAGATATGCATAATGATCAAATTCATCATAAGGAATTTGTACCTGCACACAATATTATCTTTATTCCACTTTTTTCCCATTCCGTTCCCCTCCCCTCCCTTCAACCTTACTTCTTATTTATAAAGCTCTGTTGTTTCTATTTTATACTCTTTCTCATTTTTTCTTTTTCTTCCCTTCTCCCCCATGCTCCTTCCCTTTTGGACAATTTATTTCTATTTTACCATATCTGTTAAACATTTTGGTCCCTGTTTACACTTTCAGTTTCTCACATTAAAGAGACAATGTGATATTTACATGTATGGCCAATTTATTTCACTTTAAAGTATGTTCTCAGGATGTATCTTACCTTGAAATGTTTCAAGTTCATCTTGTATGGCTGAGTAGTACTATGTTATATAGAAAGACCGTATCTTCTTTATCTATTCATGGTT